CTATCATGCGTTTATACCAGAGGAATACAATACTATTTCACATATGTTTGTTTCTTCCACTTTGCAAAAAATCATGCACACAAGAGGACACAAAGCAAGAATCTACATATCTTGAATGGCCTAATCTAATTTTGAGGCATTGTATATCTCAACAATAGTTAAGAAACCTGTCATTCACTTTGATGATGTTTGATCAGTAGTGTCTAAAAAATATGTTTTTGGTTATTACAGATCTTACAGTTATATGCTCTTACTGGAGAGCAGATTTGTCTTGTGTCAGTGAAACCATGTCCAAGCTCCCCATATATGTGGAGATTTTCTACTCCAGGATATGCAACAACTGTACTGAGTGGGAATGCAGCCTGGGCTGTTTCAAATGACTTGTGAGGGTATGAATGAGTAGAAAGTCATTGTTGAGAGTGTAGAGAGGGTTCATGGTAAGAGTGTGAATGAAGAGAGAGTTGCCACCATTAATGATATAAGCCAAGGATGTACCATCAAGAGAGAGTACAATATGTCAGATGGTGGGACAGAGTGGTTTAGAGGCACGATTAGATAAATATTGATACATTAAAATAAAAAAATAATAGGATTCGTTAAACATTGTAAACAAGAATTGCATGTTTAGTAACAAGTCTACCATTATTGAAAAATTATGCTTATGAGTTACATTTAGAGATACGCCTAATATTCATAATCCAAGTGACAGATAACTGTCTGGAAGTTTTGCAATAACCAATGTGAGACAATGCAGTGCCTTAGTTAGAAGAGGTTGATCTCTATTGTCAATTCTAACGACGGAACAGTTTCCTTGATTTTCACCTTTATAATCATTTCCAAACACTTGACTGAGTTCCCATTAGACCTTGGCAGAGTACTAACAATAATGTATAACCCTATGTATGTGTAATTTGTAAACCATGTATTTTCAGGAGTTGTCAGATCTGTTGGCACAAAAAGAAAATATTTCAAGATAATATGGGAGGACGAAGCAGAGGAAGAAACATTGAATAAAAAACAAATGATTTTTTTCTAGTTAACAGAAACATTGTAATTCAATAATATGAATGGACACTGCAAAGGAGATTTGTCTGTTTTTGTTGTGCTTATTTTCAGCACATTTTCTTGCTTGTTTTATATTCATGTGTAACAGATTTGTATGAATGCTATTGGAAATGGCTTAAACTGCGTCAGAATTGTAACAATAGTATAAACAGGGTGTCAAAATGATTTTGGATAACTTTATCTACATGATATCTGAATTGTTCTTACATCATAAGTAGGCTTCACAGAGCAACTCCAGAAGAAGCTTCAGATGACAAGTTCAACTGGATGCACTTTTATGCAAAAAGTTCATGCTCTTGAAATTAAGGGGGAACATATTTATTTAACACCCTGTAGTTGGCTATATTGCAATGTCATATATCTTTGCAATTACCTCAATTACTTAGCTATATTGCAATGTCATATATCTTTGCAATTACCTAAGTTCAAATCTGACTTAAGTTTAGAGATTCCACCTTCAATTACTGTTTCAAGTTCAAAAATCTTTTAACAATTTGCTTTAAATTCATCAATTTTTATGTCACCACCAAAAATTCTTACAATTTCAAATCACTTAACGAATATTGTTTAGACTGATTTCAGTTTTTTAAAATCATCTACAAGTTATCAGAAGTTTAAATCTGACTTTAGATTTGAGATTTGACATTTCCTAAGATCAAAAATGTCTTTTTTTGCTTTTAATTGACCGATTTTTTCAAAATGTATTACAAGTTATCAGGAGTTCAAATCTGACTTTAGATTTGAGATTGGACCCTCACTGCCCTTCTCAAAGTAAAAAAGGTAAAAACGTTTTTTTTCAACTTGCTTCAAAATGACAATTTTTTTAAAATCATCTACAAGTTATCAGAAGTTCAAATCTGACTTTAGAATTGAGATTTGAACTTCATTGTCCTTCTCCAGGTCAAAAGAGTTCAAATCTGACTATAGATTTGACCTTCAATGTTATTCTTAAGATCAAAAATGTCAATACATCATGACATCACTTACAGCAAAACATAATAAACAACAGTGCAGTATTACAGCTGCTGAGTTGTACACTTCAACAGGGCAGCAAGTTATCATAATTGGTGTCCAGCCAGGAACAAAGAACCACATAGTTGTGGATGTTTGCCATGGAAGAGCCCCAAACACAATACATTATGACAGCACTTACAACAAAAAGAACAAACAACAATGCAATAATATAGGCTGCTGAGTTGTACACTTCAACAGGGGAGCAAGTTATCATAATTGGTGTCCAGCAAGGAACAAAGAACCACCTAGTTGTGGATGTTTGCCATGGAAGAGCCACAAACACAATACATCATGACAGCACTTACAGCAAAACAGAATAAACAACAGTGCAATAGTGCAGGCTGCTGAGTTGTACACTTCAACAGGGGAGCAAATTATCATAATTGGTGTCAGGCAAGGAACAAAGAACCACCTAGTTGTAGATGTTGGTCATGGAAGAGCCACAAACACAATACATCATGACAGCACTTACAGCAAAACAGAATAAACAACAGTGCAATAGTGCAGGCTGCTGAGTTGTACACTTCAACAGGGGAGCAAGTTATCATAATTGGTGTCCAGCAAGGAACAAAGAACCACCTAGTTGTGGATGTTTGCCATGGAAGAGCCACAAACACAATACATCATGACAGCACTTACAGCAAAACAGAATAAACAACAGTGCAATAGTGCAGGCTGCTGAGTTGTACACTTCAACAGGGGAGCAAATTATCATAATTGGTGTCAGGCAAGGAACAAAGAACCACCTCGTTGTAGATGTTGGTCATGGAAGAGCCACAAACACAATACATCATGACAGCACTTACAGCAAAACAGAATAAACAACAGTGCAATAGTGCAGGCTGCTGAGTTGTACACTTCAACAGGGCAGCAAGTTATCATAATTGGTGTCCAGCCAGGAACAAAGAACCACATAGTTGTGGATGTTTGCCATGGAAGAGCCCCAAACACAATACATTATGACAGCACTTACAACAAAAAGAACAAACAACAATGCAATAATATAGGCTGCTGAGTTGTACACTTCAACAGGGGAGCAAGTTATCATAATTGGTGTCCAGCAAGGAACAAAGAACCACCTAGTTGTGGATGTTTGCCATGGAAGAGCCACAAACACAATACATCATGACAGCACTTACAGCAAAACAGAATAAACAACAGTGCAATAGTGCAGGCTGCTGAGTTGTACACTTCAACAGGGGAGCAAATTATCATAATTGGTGTCAGGCAAGGAACAAAGAACCACCTAGTTGTAGATGTTGGTCATGGAAGAGCCACAAACACAATACATCATGACAGCACTTACAGCAAAACAGAATAAACAACAGTGCAATAGTGCAGGCTGCTGAGTTGTACACTTCAACAGGGGAGCAAGTTATCATAATTGGTGTCCAGCAAGGAACAAAGAACCACCTAGTTGTAGATGTTGGTCATGGAAGAGCCACAAACACAATACATCATGACAGCACTTACAGCAAAACAGAATAAACAACAGTGCAATAGTGCAGGCTGCTGAGTTGTACACTTCAACAGGGGAGCAAGTTATCATAATTGGTGTCCAGCAAGGAACAAAGAACCACCTAGTTGTGGATGTTTGCCATGGAAGAGCCACAAACACAATACATCATGGCAGCACTTACAGCAATAAGAACAAACAACAGTGCAATAATATAGGCTGCTGAGTTGTACACTTCAACAGGGGAGCAAGTTATCATAATTGGTGTCCAGCAAGGAACAAGGAACCACCTAGTTGTGGATGTTTGCCTTGTAAGAGCCACAAACACAATACATCATGACAGCACTTACAACAAAAAAAGAACAAACAACAGTGCGATAGTACAGGCTGCTGAGTTGTACACTTCAACAGGGGAGCAAGTTATCATAATTGGTGTCTAGCAAGGAACAAAGAACCACATAGTTGTGGATGTTTACAATGGAAGAGCCACAAACACAATACATCATGACAGCACTTACAACAAAAAGTATAAACACCAGTGCGATAATACAAGCTGCTGAGTTGTACACTTCAACAGGGGAGCAAGTTATCATAATTGGTGATCAGCAAGGAACAAAGAACCACCTAGTTGTGGATGTTTGCCATGGAAGAGCCACAAACACAATATATCATGACAGCACTTCAGTAAAAAGAACAAACAACAATGCAATAATACAGGCTACTGAGTTGTACACTTCAACAGGGGAGCAAGTAATCATAATTGGTGTCCAGCAAGGAACAAAGAACCACCTAGTTGTGGATGTTTGCCATGGAAGAGCCACAAACACAATACATCATGACAGCACTTACAGCAATAAGAACAAACAACAGTGCAATAATATAGGCTGCTGAGTTGTACACTTCAACAGGGGAGCAAGTTATCATAATTGGTGTCAGGCAAGGAACAAAGAACCACCTAGTTGTGGATGTTTGCCATGGAAGAGCAACAAACACAATACATCATGACAGCCCTTACAGCAAAAAAAACAACAGTGCGATATTGCAGGCTGCTGAGTTGTACACTTCAACAGGGGAGCAAGTTATCATAGTTGGTGTCCAGCCAGGAACAAAGAACCACCAAGTTGTGGATGTTTGCAATGGAAGAGTCACAAACACAATACATCATGACAGCAAAACACCAACAGTGTGATATTGCAGGCTGCGGAGTTGTACACTTCAACAGGGGAGCAAGTTATCATAATTGGTGTCAGGCAAGGAACAAAGAACCACCTAGTTGTGGATGTTGGTCATGGAAGACCCACAAACACAATACATCATGACAGCCCTTACAGCAAAAAGAATAAACAACAGTGCAATATTGCAGGTTGATGAGTTGTACACTTCAACAGGGGAGCAAGTTATACTAATTGATGGCTAAGGAATTTGGAAAAAATGAAGAGGAAAATTATTAAATCAAGAAAACTGAGGCCCAAAAAGCAAACAAAAAGAAAAGGAAAGGATGGAAAAAAGGTAGAATAGAAAAGGAGGAGAAATTGACACAACAAAAATGTGATTTTGGTCTTTGGCAGAAGTCCAAAGATATGGAAGCTATATTACCACATCTCTCAAATAAAGACAAGTTGCTGGCCCTCAAGGAACAACTTAACTTCAGAAAGATTGTTCCGAAACAGAAAAGTGACTGCAAAACTACATTCAGCTTGACTTGCAAAGTAGGAAGCAATTATGTACCTCACACTATACCAAAGCTTGAAAAAAAACTTATAACCTTTTTCTCAGTATCAAGCATAAAAGGAGGAGCATGAAGAACAAAGACCACTAGTTGAGAAGTTGATATCCCATGATTTTGTGGAGAAAGGAAGACCTGTGAACTACAGTGGAAGGATTATAAGTGGTGTACCTGGATTTAGAAGGTGGTTCAATGTGAAGTACACAATGTGAAGTATCATGTTTCCAACAACATGAATTATTCCCCGAACATGACCTTTACCCAAGAACAATTTTGATTACCTTAAACTTGTCTAGTTCTGAGGAAATCCCAGTTTATTCGATCTGATTTTGTAAAAGGAGTGGTATCGATATGGAGAACTTTTTGAACACACATTTCTCTTAAACCAGTCATGAAAAAATCTAAAAATTTAACACATTGTCAATTTAATGGTCATCTTTTGAATGGTAACAATATAATTTGAAATATATATATATATCACTGGTACTCACCTAGTTACGCTGACGTATCGTCAGCGTAACAAAATTGAAGAACTTCCCGGCTTCGTTTTCGGTAAGATATTTTTTCTTGATTCTACACCACTTATAAGTCAAGTTGTGGACAATAATTTGGCTCAAAGTTAAGGAAGACGGTCAAGTTTGAGAACATGTAGGCGGTTCTATGTTTGTTATATTAACGAAGACGCAATTCACATATTTAGTCCCTCACTTTTGTTACATTGACGATCTTCATAATCATATATTCGCCCATACAAATAGCACATGCACAAATATAAAGTTTACATTATTCTATTTCATAAATAAGATCATAAAGTTGCCTGGTGATGGCCGATGTCTCTTCACAGCCCTAGCACGTGGTGCTGAACAGATTTCACAATTCATTTCATTCGGCACAGAAAAGAAAGACAAGCAGCAGACAAGCTGAGAAAATGTTGTTGGTTATTATTTCTTAAATGCTTCAAAATATCAGGAGATGGAAAATACTGCACCTGCATAAGACTTAATGAGGTTTCAGATGAGGGTGACAGTGATATGGATGTGTTAGAGGAATCATAGAGTTATGATGATGCATAAAAAATGATATCAATATTGTATTAATCATGCCTTCTATAAACTGTTAACATAGTCAATATTTCACCCAGCATTTATTTTGTTCAGTGCTATATATTTCTTTCAGCCCTATATCTTTACTGGAAGAAGGAAATGAAGTGCCTATTTTGCAAAGTTTTCATGTTAAAATCAAACATGAAACATAAACAATATTGTGTCAATCTTCTTACATCAAAACACAGGTTTTATGCTTGTAAAACATTGTTTTAATGTTGCGTTTCATTTTTAATATTGCAAGCTGATCTTTGAAATTGCTACATTCTCACTTTATAATGTATGAACACTATTTTCTCCAACACCATAGACTACTATTACAACCCTCCATCTCTGCATCAACATATTTATCACATTAAATGCAGCAATTTCAAAAAGTCCTTCGCATTTGTTTTCGGAATTGATCCCCCCTTCTCTTCCAAAACGCCCCGTTGGATTTATACACCTTGAAACTAAATGTTTGTAGTCATAGACAATGGGGCGTTTTGTTCAATTTCGAACAGTTGCGTAGGACTTTTCAGAATTGCTGCGTTTCATGTTATGAACATGTTGATGCATCGATGGAGGGTTGTAATTGGAGTCCTTGCGCAGAATATTGGGGAAAGTGATAGAAGAACTGGCGAGATATCAAGGATTGTGGTTGAAATCTCTGAGGATTTGCAACTTCTCACATCTGGGGACCAAAACACCGCTAAAACGAGGGACTTTGTAAACAAAAGCAATATCTCGACAGGGAGCATTTGGAAATTATGCCAAAAATTACACAACTGTAATGAGATGGTACAATGATTTCAAGAAGGGGAAGCGTGACAGTCTTTCAGACTACCCCAGAAAAGGAAGGCCAAGGACCTCTGTCAACCAGGTGAATGCAGAAAAGATAAAAGTTCTTATAGAGCAGGACAGACATATTTCATTAGAGGAAATAAGTGATTTACTGGATATATCTTAGGGGTCCTGCCATACAATTGTCACAAAGATCTTGAAAAAGCGGTATGTTGCAGCAAAGTGGGTTCCAAAGTTCCTCACAGTGGAGCAAAAGGAAGCGCGTCTTGCAGCATCTATGCAATTTCTGGATATGTTTTGGACAGTATACATCAAAAAGGAACTTATCGTGTCACTTGTCTATTGTGATGTCATAGAGACAATTAGAAAAATAGCCACCCAAAGAGACACTTACACCTGCCATTTTACAAAGAGAATTCAAGCAAGAAAACTATTTGGAAAAACATAATTTTGGGTTGAACATGGTACCCACCACTCTGGTTACCATAGCAACCATATCTCAAGAACCAATCAAAATTGAGGTCCCAAATTTTACAATATAATGTATAAATATATAACACATATGTGTACCAAGTTTCATTGAAGTTATGGCATCAACTGCAAAACTTTTTGAACCACCTAAGTACTTCAGTCAAGCCTTTGGCCTGAACTAAATGGTCCTGGCTACGTAGACAAGGGTTTCCTTCTTGGGGATTCAGGTTATGCCCAGACAAAAGCTCGGTATTGACTGGTGAGTGTCGTAAATATATTTACGATGTAAATTTACGAATGACAACTTTAGGAAAAAATTCAGAAACGCATTTTGAGTTTCATCGTAAAGTTGTATCGTTAATCATTTACGATGGATTTACGATGAAATATACGATTCAGTTCAGAAACGGACTCCAGGACAAGTGGGATAGAAATACAGGGACAAACTCCAAGATTATTGGACGCTTTTACAAGTTCCTCAGCATTTATGCCAAACAAGGGATGCCCTATACGTATACTTCGAAGAGTTGTCTTTCATTTAAAACTTATTCTTGAAAGATAAGATTTACCTTGTTTCAACGAAGTCCCATCTGGTTCTTTTGGTCTTTGCCTAGTCTGAAAAGTGAACGAGAAAACATTTTTATGATGAACGCACACCGCCAATAAACTCTACGACTCTTCGTGATATCAGCTCTAAGTAATACAATATGCAAGATCCGCCATCGTCAAACGCAATGAATACCTTATGAAAAATTACAAACTATTTCATCTCTAAATGTAGAATCGTGGTAAGTTATTCATTGATGAAAACTGAGATTATCAATTTCAGCGCGCTACTTCGAACGGCATTTTAAATGTTCTCTAAATGAAGGAATGTGAGACGGAATCATTGTGTCTGAATAATCCAAATCAAAATAAGGAATCAGAATGAAACGAAAAATGTATAGAGGCCGACTGGCAGATCTGGTGCAGGGGCAGGAGCGAATCTGGGAAGCAATAAGGGGGGGGGGCAAATTTCAGGTCAGAGAAAAAGATTTTGGGCCCCTAGGCTAAAACCCTTAAAGCGGGCCCAAATTTGGAAATTTTGAGGCCAATTTTCTTCCAAATTTGGCCTGAAATTAAAAAAAAAAACAAGGCCTTAAAAAGGCACAGCAATGACCAAAAAGGCCCACTTTTTGGGGCCTTAAGGCCTTTTCTGGCCCCCAGCCCCCCCCCCCAGATCCGCCAGTGAGGGGCTAGGGTGATTCCAGAAAAATTGGGCTCAAAAACAATTTTTTTTATATTAGGCTACTGGGGCCTTTCAAGGCCTTCTTTTTTTTAATTCAAGGCCAATTTTTTATCATTGACCCAAAATATATTAACGAATCTTTTTTATCAGACTTGAAATTTGCCCCCCCCCCCCGCCTCCCCCCCCCTCTCCTCTTGTTGGTTCACAGATACCCCCGAGGCCTGAAGTCCATGGCAGTTCACGATAGTCTCATATAGGTTAAGCTACACGTATTTAACAAAACTTGAACGTGAACTTCAATGCGCGCGCAGATAAATGACGTCGGATTTGTTTATTTCCTGTGGTCCAGCGTGAAGTTTACAGGTTTTTACATGAGATTATCATATTCGTGCAATTTACAGACGTGTATTCAACAAAGCATGAACGTGTACTTCTATGCGCGCGCAGGAAAATGACGTCAGTTTAGTCTACTTTCTACAGGTAAGCGTGAAAGTTACAGGTTTTTACGTGTAGATGAGTGATTACACGTCGCTCATTACGTGATTGATTTTAGCTATGTTCTAGGATGGCCCTGGAGCCCATATTTGATACAGACAATCTTGCTTGTTATATTGGTAAACCCCAATCCTTAATTGGAAATAAGAATACATTTAAATGGGTAAATGACAACTTCAAATGTGATCGTTTGTTCATTCCGTACAATATCAACAGGCAGGGCCAATTTGATACCCGGGGCTTAGTACAATAGGTATACTAAACGAAATGAAATGACAACCAGGGCCTACGATTGCCTTATCACTACATTTGGTTTGAAAATGGCTATAGGAAAATGCTTCAAAGCAACTTTTACACTTTTGAAATGCCATACAACTTTGTAAATCCAAAGATTATACTGTTATGTTCATTAATCAATAACATTTTTGGATAAGATGTAGGGATGTGTAGAATGCAAATGGATTTTGACAGACACAAAAAGACTTCCTGGTTTGGCATCTCTACCCCTGTACACTTTATGATTGAATATTGGCCCTAATAAGTGGCCCATTCATCAATGCAGTGCTGAATATAGGTCAACACGATACTAGTGTACATAAAAATGTAATAATAAAAACAGTATATTCATTTTAAAAAATTAAATGAATTCATTTTTGATCATGGGAATATCGTAATGGAGGGCGCATTGAATATTAAATACAGCAAAAATAAAAAAAACAAAATGTGTTGATGCGACTACTGTAGATTCGAACCCAGGCCTAACGGACACGACTTGGTAGTGCTATCAATTACACCATAGAGACATGACCTTTAGACACAGTCACCACATAAATATAGCTCCACGTCCACTGACGTGGTTTCAGACGTGTAGCTTAACAGAAATTTTTTTAAACGTGTACTTGAGCGTGGACTTGCGCGTTCAGCTTCACGGTTTGCATTTATACGTGTAGCTTAACCTCTCTAGTTAGTGACAAGTTTAATTTTATTTACATTATAACCACATATAGATGGCGTAGGGGTTTGTGGTTAGTCGGGTGGCCGGATAACCGGGTACTTTCCTTAGCTTTCCTTGCAAGGTACTTTCAAAGTTGCACATGTTTAGACTACGGTACCCTTCAATATTTTTACGTTATCATTTTACCAAGAACTTGTAAGAGACTGAATTTCGGAAGTTCTAGGTAGTTATTTACACAGTTTACACATACGATGGCGTTAGTTGCTTGATTTATTGTCTGAGTGATTG